CAGCCAACATTCTAACTGCTGCTACATGTCGATATATGTATTAAGACAGGCCATAAAAAAGCTTGACATATTTGTTTTCACTTCATAGTCGAACTTTCAGTTAATCTCATTTGTTATGGCTGCCTGCGAGTTTTATTTGATTTGGTTTTATTATTTGTGACTTTATTGTATTTTGTAGCTTTAACTATTTGGCAAACTCTTTTTATTTGCTTGTTTTGCTACTCGTAGCATGTTTGCAGTTGGTTTTTCTAGCTGGATCAACACTTTGTTACAAGCATTGAGAGCACAAAGTTTGAGTCAGACTCGAAAAAGCAGCGTTAATTAATAAACTTTTAATAAGCTAATAAATTATAGAAGCCATTGGCCGAAACCTCTAATTAATCCAGTAAAACAATTGTTAAAGCTAGCCGGATACAACGTACTTTGTTGAATGGCATTTCGTGCTGAATATATATTTATTGATCTAGAGATTCGCTAATAATCAGGAATCCTTTGTGCATTGTGCACGATTCCGTGTTCATTTGCTTAATAAATTTCAATTGAATGGCAACTCGATGGCAGCTGCGGGCTTAAACAAAGCTCGAACGGATTACAAAAGACACGTTTCTGCAGTGGCAAGCGGACAGTGAAGCCTCGCAATTGATGCCGCGCATTGATTTCACAAGTGCGTCATACAACAATTTTTAAAGGCCAACTTTAAGTTTCAGCCAGAGCCGAAGTAGATTATTATGTGCAGAGAGAGAGAGAGAGAGAGAGAGAGAAAGCATAAAGAGACATCAAGCTGACGGGATTCGCTGAGCCGTGGGTTGGGCTTTTGAATGGTTGTTGAATGCTAGTTCATGGGTCCTTGGTCAAGGCTAAGAGTCTTTATTATACGGCTGCAATTGTACAAGCCATTCGAGTTATTTTTGGCCCTTCACTTGACTGCGGGTGTGTGTGTGGGTGTGCGTGTGTGTGCGACAAGCTGCAGCTAATCTTTAGCTGTCTGCTTGGTAGATTTCGCCCTTTTGTTTTGCCCTCTTCTGCTGTCAATTCAACTACTGCTGCTGCTGCTGCTGCTGCTGTTGTTGTGGCTGCGTAGAGTACATGGAGACCATAAAACAAACACTTTTAGTTTGTTGAACTGTGACCGAGGGCTGCGTTTAATTTGTTGTCAAAAATTGCTACCGAAATTTGATGCGGCTGCCAGCTGCCAGCTGCCAGCTTGACTACAACAGCGACAATATTTTGCTTCAATTTTTCCACTGCTCTTCTTATTTTAAATACATATATATATATATATATATATATATATATATATATATTGTTAATTCTTTGTTTAGCTGTATTTAGGGAGAAAGCTTATTAGCTCAGTAAGTTTCTTTAGCAAAAAGAGCCTCAAATACACAATGAGCTCCAATTTATAGTAAAGCTTTATTACAGTAATATTTATATAAATACCTTAAAAATTAATATAATAAATATACTGTTATACAAAATAATTGTGGCTTCTATATAGTATTAATTGAAATATGAAAGCTAATTTTATAATTATTTAATTGAATTTTCTTTTCAAGCTGCCAACAAAAGCAATTTCTATTGCGCACTTGCTGAACAAACAATCAAACTGTTGATGCCAATGCACTCTGTGGCTTAATAAGCAATAAATAGAATGATAAAAGCGTTGAGTTTAGTTGAAAACTATTTGATTGCAAATTAATTAAAATTTTGCCACACCGCGCAGAAAAGTAGGCAATAGAAAATTGTCAGCAGCAGAACTATGCATGTTACAGATAGCATCTATAATGGCTAGGATATATATAGTAGAGATACAATCCGAATAGTTAGAATATGTATACATATATAGTTCATAGTATTCTGAATATTACAGGGCATAATGACAGCAGGCAGGCAGTTGTTGACCTTGTTGAATGAATATGAAATCCAATTGGGTTCATCAATACTTTTTGCCATTGCGCATTTATTAAAACTTGAACAATAAATACAAATGCGTATGTGAACATATATTTGTATGTACATGTACGTCAGGATGAGCTAAGTTTTGGCTATAAACGCCCACAAGCCGATGAAGTGCTGTGTAAATTTTTAATTGCCCAGCCATTTGCGATGCTTAGAGAATGCCAAATTTGTTAGTTCAGCTCTTTAATTTGTCCGTAATGAACTCTAGAGTCCTTCTCTGTAGACCTTCAATGAAAATTTCAAAGCCTTTCCTGCGGCTACCCTCTTGCTCGTTAGAAGCAGACAAAAGCCACAAAACACAGCAGAAAAAAGGAGCAAAATTTGTGAAAAAATATAAACTTACTGACAGGATGTGGGATTAAAATCTGGACTTGAGCATGTCAGCTTATGCGATACAAAACTCTCATAATTTTATACTCGTGCGTGCTGCCAGACGACAATGGAAAACAATGTGAGCCACTTTTCATCATACACACATAGCTGTAGTATATATATAGACCATAGCTGCCTGTGCATAAAACAGACTTTAAACGGACCGCACAAATCGCCGTTACATCTAAAGAGTGCGCCTGCTGGGGTGTACTCGAATGCAAGATACCCTGTAACTGTAATTGAACACTTTTTAATCATGTTGGCAAGAGAAAGATACTCTGTATGGAAACGTTGCAAGTATCCGACTAAGGTATACCATGACTAAAAATGCATTAGAATATATTTCAGTTTTCAATAAAATAAGGCAACTGAGAGTATTCAACTGGTAGACACCTGTCGTTTGTCTAGCTCAGAAAACATTTAAGCTTTCAAAAGCAATATCGATGTCGGAAGTAGCCGCCTGCTAGAGCCGCGTACTTAAGCCCCTGTATAATATGCTTGTATATACTAACCGTGCTTGTAATCCCCGATGGGAAGAGGCCACGTTAAATTAATTTGGAGACATCCTGACGGTGTGTCAGAGCTTAACTAAGCTTAACTTTCTGAAGAAAGTCTCTAGCCTTGACACAAAAAAACTGAAATTGAATTTGCATGAATGAGAGCTGCCTTAAGTTTCACTGTTTCAGAAAATAAGCTAACTGCTAGACACTAATACAAGATATATTTGTTATACAACCCAAGAGTTGTAGTCTACGAGCTTTAAAAACTAATATTAAATTAAATTTTTGTATGATTCGAAGAAGATATAGTTACAGCGAACTACATTTCGATAGAGCTCAAGGAATAACAGTTGCATAAAACAATCTACCCAACTTCACTCATTTTCAATGGGTATACATAGCAGCAGAGACTTTAAGGCTTTTGGCTGACATTTTTATGACTACTTTTTGCATTTTGATTGATCACAGAGACTAACCGGAAAAGCAATTTTAGTGCTGAAAAAATCTCGATGATGTCTTACAGTTCAAAGACTTTGCACGCCGTTCAACATCGTTCAAAATTTGACTGGCTGTCAAAAGTGAAAAGTGAATTTAATGGAGAAAACATGTTGCCAACAGACTTAGCTGCTGGCATCTGCATTACGTTTAAGAAGTGCTTCTGGCAATATGCAAACTGAATTTGATTTTATGTTAAGTTAATCAACTGTTAAATGGAGTCTCGAATGCTCTCCAGACGCTGCTATAAATTTGGAGTTCAAATATTATGTCAATTTTTGTATTTTTAACAATATGTTAAAAATACGTTTTTATAGCAAAAAATAAAGATGAAAAATGTGTTTAAAGACTTTTTATATACTTTACTTGACAATGCTTATTTTTAGAGCAACTAATGTTGCCTTGGTATTTCGTGTAGGAGTTTTTCTCAGTAAAAAAAATATTGAATATCACAAAAGAAAAGCGTAGATATACCTTGCACTTTGCCAGCTGACAAGTGCAAGTACTAAGCCTTATCCCACAGCTTTATAAATTCCCCAAAGGCAGGAAGCCAAAGCAAACTTTGCAAAAAGTAACTGCCAAAAGCATTGGCAAAAAAAGAAACTGCCTTTAAGCAGCTGTTATTGAAAGAGAAGATGGAGAAAAAACGAATTGTTCTTTCGATTTCGATGCGGCTTTGGTTGCAGCTGCCTGCTGGCTGCTGCTGCTGCTGGCAGTGTATTTAAGGATAATAAAGGAAAAAGCCTCTTCATTTATTTTCATTTTGTTTTTTGTTTTTTTTTTTTTTGATGCAGCTTTATTTGCTGTATATATACTTGTTGCCGCTTAAACAGTTAATTTATGTGTGGCGCTTAAGCACTTGTGTGTTGCAGAGTCAGTTCGTCACTTGCAACTGATATTAGCTGGGCATAAATTGTCTGGGCCCAGCTAATGCAGCCCATAAATTGCCATGCAAAGCACTTTTTCTGACCCTAGCTGATTTGGCTTTAAGTGAAAGTGTGATAGAAAAGCAAAGTGTTAGAAAGAAGCAAAAAAGTGAGTAAAAATATTAAATATTTTTATAAAAATGTTTAGTTAGAAAGAAGTAAAAAAGTGAGTAAAAATATTAAATATTTTTATAAAAATGTTTAGTTGAGTCTAAGTGGCTTGCTGAGGTGCAATATCTGGCTAGAAAATAGCTAAAGTTCAAGCTGAAGTTAACAAAAATGGAAGAGAGCGAGAGAGAGAGTAAATTTGGTGTATGTGTTAACGATTTTATGTAGTAGCTAAAAATTAGACAAACATATAAATATATTATATATATATATACAATTTCAACAGCTCAAATACACAGCCATTTAGCTGTCAGTTCAGGCGAAAAGATAGTTCACGGTTCACACAGCTAATAGACTTTAATATCCACAGCAACAATAATCATTTCAATTAACATTACATTTATTTAAGACAAGTTGAACTTTAAATCTAAATTGTACTTAAGTCTGGATAACGAAAGGCAAAGCTAGACAAGGCCTCGACCATAAAATACTTTTGCCACAATAGTTATATGAAACAATTAGTTAACATTAACTCACTATACATTTATATAGATATATATATATATAACTATCTGAATCGAACTATTTATAAACATTTATTTGCTATCTAACCACTAGCAGAGCTGGCGCCTTTCATTTATCACAGCGATTTGGGCGTGGCATAGCCATTTCTGCCGTTGACCGTTTCATTGTTGTTTGCCACGTTTTGCTTCTTGCGCTTCTTGCGCCATGGAAACTTGCCCACCTCGCTGTCTGTGCTGGCATTACCTGTGCTGGGAGTCTCCTGGTCGGGCAGGCTGCTGCTGCCACTGTAGGCCGGCTCGTCGCGACGGCTGATTACACGGCTGAGCTTTAGGCGCGTTGGGGGCTGTGGCTCCTCTGTGGGCTGGGCAGTGGCCACCAACAAGGCGCCATTGCTGGTGGCTAGCAGCGTGCGTTTGGCACGTGCCGGCGTACAATGGCTACGAGCCACTTCAACCACTTCCGGGTCCAGCAATGCGTGCGTATTGGCATCACTTAGCCGCGAGCTTTGCGTCTGCAGCAAGCGATGCGGCACGGCGCTGCCCGTCGGCGTAGCATACAAGTCCTGTTTGCGTAGACGTCTGCCAGCAGCAACAACAGCAGCAGCCCCACCGCCACCACTGCCGCTGGCACCTGCACCACCGACAGCAGCCAGGCTGCTGCTATTAATAGTTGTGGTTGTGGTATTCGTGCGAATGCTATCCTGCAGCGACAGCTGATGGTTGGCATCGCGACAGCGAAACTGAACCACGCGATACGATCCATACGGCTCCAGGGCATTGTTGTTGTTGCTGCAGCTGACGGGCTGCAGCCGCATCGAACCCTGCAGTCGCATCAGTGCACTGTAGTTGTGCTGGTGGTATTGGTGCTGCTGCTGATTGCGTGCCAGACCAAACTGACGTGTTAGTGTGATCTGGAAAGCAAATTAAAGCAAAAATACCGCAAGATTGGCAGCTCAACTCACCTTGAATGCCTCTCGAAACTTGTGGCTCATAATGTTGTACAGCAGCGGATTGATGCAAGTGGACAGAAAGTAAAGTACGCCGGATGTATAATGTAGTATGTGATAATAATCGTTGAAGGCATCGCGACAACGGCAAACATTAATCAGCGAAACGCCATAAACAGCCATCAGGCGCTGGGCGTGAAAGGGCGCCCAGCAGAGAAAAAAGGCAACGGCTACAGCTACTGCAAAGAGGGTAGAATGGTTTATCAAATGCTTAGCATATCCTCTGTCTCAGTGCTGAATTAGACGGGGCAGAGGTTCTATATGAGTGGGCAAATACGACGGCTCACATGGCGTATGCGCATCATTGCGTAAAGTTTTCAAAGTGCGTCGCCCACTTTGCGGCGCTTTTCTAGGTGTGTAATGACTGAGGGTGTGAGTATGGAAAGAGTGTGTATGTGTGTGTCTATTGACATTAATTTCCAATTGGGCGTTGCTACACTCAGAGAAAAAGCGTAAAGAGCCAGAATTAAAAATGATAGAAAATGCAAATATTTTGTAAATTTAAAAATTTATAAAAAAATATACAAAAAAAATACAAAATTTACAAATTAAATAATTTAAAATGAAATAATAAACAAAATTTTTTAGTCAATTAAATAAATTAAATTAAACTCAATTAAATATATAAAAATTATATCAAGGATAATAAGTACGTAAAATTTTTAAATTTAAATATTTTATAAAAATGTTTAAAAAAATATATTTAAAAAATTTAAATAATAAAAAATGTTGTTACAAAATATTTTAAGAATTTTTTAGAATTAAATCAATTAAAAATATAATCAAATAAATTTGATCAAGATAATTCTCAGCATTTTCTTAGAGTGCATGAAAAAAGTTAGACAGCGCAAAAGTGTCTGCTGAATTCAATCAATCAATCAAACGGATAGCTCGGCCCGCACTTACCCAACATTCGGATGACGCGACTTTGCGCGTTTAGGCCTCGACTCGCATCGTAGGCGCGTCTTGGCAGCGACTGCAGCAAGCGGCTACGCTTCAGCTTCATGCCAATCAGCACATAGAGCACACAGATCGCCGTCATGGGTCCACAGAAGAATATAAAGCCCGAGACGGCGAAAACATGCGCGTAAAAGTTGTTCTCCATCTGCAAAGCGGAGTATAAAGTTGTGGCTTGATGGGCAATTAAGCTAACGTTTGTACTCGTACCGTGCAGGAGTAGCCATTACCCTGGTTAACCACCGAGAACTGCATGGCCTGTGGCAGCGCCAGCAGAAAGGCCGCCAGCCAAATAGCAAAGATGAATTTGATGGCACGCGATAACTTGGACATGGTGTGCTGCCTGTAAATGTTGTTTTCAATTTATATAACACGAATAGCCAATAACCTGACCTAAGAGCACTCATCGAATCACTTCGTGTGTAAGTGTGTTTGTGTGTTCAAATCATAAACTTTTGGCTACGACGCGGAAAGGGAATTAACTATCGAGTGCCGCAGTGCGTATACCCTAGATTATCTTAGATTTTACTATTTATATATGGATGGATTCCATTAGATGCATTCATATTTTAATAAACTTAACTCCTTATGGGCAGTTTAAGAAATACATTTTAGCTAAGTTTGCTAGTGCTGCTGTTCAATCAAGTCTTAAGTCTGCATTCCGCATGCAGCCCAGCTTCAACAGTCTTAAACTGATGAACGAGGCGCCAGCTCTGCGTTATCATGTACAGCAGTTGGGAATTGCGTTAAGGAACTTTGCCTGTTTAGTTTTGAACTCTTCAAAGAACTTGCCACTTTTGCCAATAACAAATAAACCTAATTGTTACCTAAATTGTTTTATTGCTGCTAACATCGTTCAGCTCAAAGGAATCTATTGAAATGGCTTAAAGTAATTTTTGTGGTCATAATCTACAGCAGAATAGCCAAGTTCATTCTCATAAATCGCTTTTAAAAGTTGTTTTCAGACCTTCGCATTAGGCCTTCCTTTATATTTATATCATATATAAACACATATTTATAATCAAATTAAAATTTTATTATTTTATTATTTATAATCAATTTAAAATTTTAGCAAATATTTTTGACGTGCTGAATCTAAATCAGAAACCAGCAGCGACCAGGTCATGACAGGTCTCTAAAGTTTAACTTGAAATAGTTAAGCAACATTTATTAAGCCATTCTAATCATTTGTAGTCCTGTAACTACATTATATAAGTAAGCACGAGCAAAGCTGTCTAGACTCTCCGGTCAGGCGAGGCAGAGGTAACATTTACTAAAATAAATAGCAATTCTCATTATATCTCTTTGTGTACGGAAGAAGAGTGCATAATCACAGGGATAACCTTGTTTTATTATTATATCTGAATATCTAAGTAGAAAAGGTTTAGGTATTAGCCTTTACTTGAAATATAATTAACTATTTATAATACATTGTAATTGAAATAAATAAATTAAATTTAATATATATTAAATTTTTTTAAAGCAACTCCTTTAAAATTTCAGAAAAAGTTTTTAATCCCAGAATCAGAAACTTTTTGTAACAATATAAAGCTAATATTGGTTCAAGAATTTTGTTGCTTGTCCTATAGCAAAGTAAGTTTAAATACTAAATGTTGCACAAACTAGAAGCAAGTCAAGCAGCAGAGAGTACTTAAACTTTTTTAAGTCGCATTGAGGAAACATCTAGCAACATAAGATACGATAATGCGCTTCACTATTGAATTTAATTTAAATATCTAAACCCGCTTCAAAAGAATCTGCTGATCACATAAAAAAATGTATAAGATAAAAATACATTTCAGCACAAACATATAAAGCTCTGATAAATATTTTTTCTATTTGCCTTTTTAATTAAAATGTTCAAATAAAAAGGAGAAAAACTTTGAAAGTTTTTTAAGCCCCCGCGGCTAGAAAAACTGCAGAGGAAAACAAAAGGAAAAACAAATTGAATCAAATTGATTTTTGTGTTTGTTTGCTTCCATTTAATAAAGCAGACAATTGGAATTGGTTGAAGATATCTGCCCATATAGATAGATATTCATTATGTTTGATAACAACTGTAAAAACTATATTAAAGGTATTTATTGTGTGCTCGATAGCATCTAGACGAGTTTGGCATTAATTACAAGCCCATGAAATGCAATGAAATAATTTCGAAATGTAATATTGTAAGTGGTAAAAAGCAATAAATATCATAAATAGATTTGGGGATTAATTAAGCGTGCCTATATTATGTTAAGGGATATAAATTATAGACACTGGCGCTGTCGCTGTGGCTAATTAGTTGTTATCTTAGAGCCAACACACGCCCGCACACTTACCGAAACGGATGGCAGATGGCAATATAGCGCTCGACGGTGAACGCCGTGATGGTTAGCACCGTTGCGTTGGCTGCCATTTCGGAGAGCACGCTCTCGACGATGCAGATGCCGTCCGTGAAGGGGTAGGAGTCGGGGCACCACAAATCGTATAGTTCCTGCGGTATGCCTAACGAGATGTCCGGAAGCAGAGCACATTAAGCATACGCAGCGTTAGCCACATGGCATTCATCAAGACTTACCTGCGATGAGCAGAATCAAATCGGAGACGGCCAAATTGAACAGATAGAAATTGGTGGCCGTGTGCATAAAATTGTTCCTCGAGATGACAATACAGGTGATTAGGTTGCCCAGCACGCCGGCCACAAAGATAAGCGCATAGCAAATAGTTAGGAAAATGAGCAGCGTGGGCGACTCCTCCCAGTTGTCCGCGATAGTTGTTGTTGCTGCCGTTGCTGCTGTTGCTGTTGCTGTTGCCAATGTTGTTGTGCCATTTGTGCTGTTTGCTGTTAGCAGATTTGTTAGATTCTCGGTCGTCATGTTCAGCATTTGAGCGACATGTGTTAGAAATTTGTCGTTGTGCAGCAAGAACAGCTCCGGGCTGGAGCTGCGGCTCGGACCGAGACCGACACTCAGACTGGGCCTGCCATTTGGCAACGTATGAGCCATGAATGATTGATTGAGGCCATCATCGTCGTCATTGCTGCTGGCAAGTGCAAAGTCAACGCTTTGCCTCATGTTGTTGTCCCCGTTGTCAATTAATGCGTGGCGGCTCGGGTGTGCTGGCCCTTAACACTGTTATTAATATAGTCTGCTGTTGTGACTGTTGCTGCGCGCGCTTATGGTTATGTTTGACGTGCTGGCTGTGCACATGGCTGATAAGCGCGGCAGCCAGACGACAGGCCCCGAAAGAAACCTAAGCCGAACACAAAAACCAAAAAAAAACCACAAAAAATTGTGCATTCGCCTGTAAAGCAAACAACAACATTAAAAGTCATTAGTCTCAAGCATGAATTTAAATTGTTTTCCAAAAATACTTCGAACATCTGCCCAACTGCGAGTGACTCCTGCCCCGATCTGATGAGACTTTCTGATTACAACAGGTGGCTCTCCCACCTGGCCTTGTCGAGCTGCTGCCAGAATCACAACTGCGCAATTTATGTGACACTTTAACTGATAGAAATTCATGCGGAAATTTTATGGCTTATTCGCAATTTTGTTCGACTATAAATAGGTGGCATTTACTCAGCCAAGTTGTGAGCACGAGTTGTTGGCATAGTTTCGCCCCTTTTTGTTTGCTGTTTCCAAACTTTTCTTGTATTTATGGTCAACATGGTGAGGGAAAAGTTTCCGACACACGAGCTGGTTTGCTAAAATATTATCGGGTATCCATCTATATTTAAGCCCTGGGCTCACATATTTTAAAGCGTCTGTGATAAATGGCAATTTGAGCTCATAATTCACTCATTATTTCGTTGGCACGTTGACAATATGCATACGTAAATCTAACAGCTGCCAGCAGCATAGCACAGGAGTCGAACTTGTGAACCTGCAAAAATACAGCCATGTGGGACGCAAACGAGCCTCTGGGCATTAATCATATTTACAGCTCACCTTGAATTCGAAAACCTTTTGCATACATTTAGCTAACGTCCAGCAGCATTTTCTTGAAAAATTGGACAACAACGAAAGCCGCAAAGCTTTCACTATCTGAAGTGACACTAAGGCAAATGCTTCACGGAATCATCAATGGCTTTGCTAAAAACGAAATAAGTTCGAATATTAAATGCTTCTACTCAAGAGCTATGCGATAAAGAGAACTGCTGGGGGACAGGAGAAGCTGAAACATTGACTTCTAGCTAACTGACTGACTGTAAGAAAAAAATTTTCTAATGCTTCGATTTGCTCAACTTTATTGATTTTTATTGGATTCGTTGTCTGATCAAAATTTGATAGAATTGTCGTTATGATTTCTTTAAAAAATAGTTTCAATTGCTTACTTGGAAGTAATTACCATTATATTTCAATCACTTGTCAGTTCTGAGAATCAACCATGATATTATTTAATTTTTGAGTATTTAAAAAACAAATGAGTCATAATTATTCTTATCAGACGCATATGCAAAAACCGGATATTTCTTGAAATTCTGTTGTTCAATTGCGAAACCTTTCCAATGTGTGCTAGGCCGCAAAAGGGACATTTGGGGCTTGTCATTGAGGAAATATTGCGACGTTGTAAATATTGGTTGATGGAATAATTTAGTTGCCCAATCAGGCGTAAATGTTAACTAGGCCAACCGAAAGAGCCCAAAACAAATATTTCACACTCTCTTCCTGCCTCTCTCTCTCTCTCTCTCCTGCCTATATATTGCAATTCGATTTATAATAATTGTCTGTCGATTTCTTGACTTATGCCAGATATTTGGTTGTTGGGCACGGTCACGTCAAGTGCTGTGGCTCAGACTGGCTTTAAGTGCAGTTAGTCAACATGAAAATTCAGCTTACCGAACTGCGTTCAAATGACAAAGGCCATTAAAAACGATTTGATTTTATTTGCCGTCACTTAAGTTGGTTTAACGAGAAGTCGCGCCTGAAGGCAACAATTGTTGATATCACTTTACATCCTTAGCTAAACGCTACGCTGTTGCTAGAGCTATATTCGTTGCCGAGCTATAACAATGCCTGCACACAATAGCAGCTTCTGCGATAATATCTTAAGCAGTTTATGACTTTGAATAGGATAATTTCAAAAAGGCTGTCAATAATAATTTATACACTTTTATTACTTTTTATTAAATTTTCTTGAAATCATTTTATTATATTGTATTATTCAAATATTTGTATTAATTTTTCAGTTAATTCAAAACTCGCGCTTCAACTGTTTCACTTTTTCTTAACTTTCTGTCGGCCCGCACACGTCCGTTTGGCAGCGCAGTCAATGTTAGACTGAGTTTCCGCGTGGCAGACGCTCGGCTGTTAAGCGTTAACAGCTGTTAGCTAACAGTCGCGTCAAGTCCTGTTAAGCGTTGCTAGCGCTCTCGTTGTCGCTCTCGCTCTAGCTGTGAATGGCTTTTGTTGCATAATTTCATTCATAAATTCATGTACTTTACCTTGAGCTAAAGCAATTCGACTGATAGAGACGCTAAGATAGGCCCTCGTCTAACGTGACGTATACGTAATAAAGCGCTAGTACCATAAATGGTGTGCAATTCAATGAAATGGAATTGAATTAAAAGTGGAACAAGCATATTTAGCATTATATTGAAATGTCAAATGGGCCAAGTCACTAACAATTACTTTTAATATTTATTGGCCCAGGCGCCGCCGCCCATTGACGTTCAACTGGTTTTCCTCTGGCAGCCAGACAGCCCCAAGCGAAACAATCAAAACTCACGCGAAATCCAAGCCGCAGTCGGCTTTCCAGTCTGACAGCAGTCAGTCTGAGCGGCCATAAAATACCAAAACAAATGTCACTTTTTTCTCTGCACTCCCTTTCGCAGGATTTTTGAGGACAACTGACGACCGCGTATTAATCTTTGGCTCGACCAGCCACAGATTTGCGGTGTTTGTTTAGACCCGTGAATTCCCCTTGAAATGCTGCGAACGTCATTTTGTGGCTTTAAAGCGGATTTCTCCAGTTTCTGCTACTATTATAGCCATACGGTTTGTGGTTATGTCTGTGAGCGAATACCGTGAACACTTTGTCATCGGCTCATAATTACACCCCCAAATATGGTTTGAGTCAAATTGCTCAAGCATAAATTTGTGAAATGAAAATTTTACGCTTTTCTGTGTAAATAAACATTTGATCAAAGTATCCAGCAGCAAGGCAAGGCTACTCAAGAGTAAGAACTAGATAGAAGCACAGCTGAAAGTGTAATAAAATTGAAGATTGTTCGGTTGATGCTTGAGCTGAGCTGCGCCATGTGAACTTAATTTACATAGAATTTGCTGTTCATAGAATATGGTTCGATTAGGGTTAGTATAGTTAGTAGAAGTATATATCTATTTAATTTGAAATAAATTTCTATCTGTAGGACTGGAATATGGAGTAATTCCTAATTTGCCACGTCCCTAGGTCGCTTCTCGATAAGATCTGAAGACATTCAAGTCTCTAGTTACAATAGTTGGGAAATGCTGTGCATTCATAGGGATAGGTAAATGGATGGACGAACATAAAGACGAGCGGACAGATCGGCGGACAAACAGACAGACGGACAGCAAGAAGGACATAGTACAAAGTCAATATACGCTTCACTTTGTGAATGAGTATAAAACTAAACTATCTATATATCTACATTAAAATATTTACGACAAATCTAAGTTGGAGCATGCACAGCTTTGACTCAACTACGAAAAGCCTCTTGAGTTGCAGTTGCCATTAAAATTTCATAACTCTCAGTCATTAGCTATAATTCCAAAATATCCTGAGCAAACAAATGTTTTTATACCAAGCATTTCCATTAGGCTATCTGCATGTCCACTTCCACAGCTGTTGTGTATATGTGGTCATATCAGGCACATCTCAGCTGAATGTGGCGCAAGTAATCACAGCCCTTAATCTGTTTTTTGGCCATGGATTATTCATGAGATATGCAGATAAGATAAGCTAGAGAAAATGCGAACACAATTTATATGAGCAGTTGCTGGCACTACTTAATTGGGTATTGCGCCACCTTGTCCGGCTTTGGCTGCTGGCAATTCAATTGTAATTGCTGCGACAAAGTCTGTGGTCAGCCAGGGCAGAGACTGATTAGCATAAATTGGCGAGCAGTGAGCAGTGAGCAGTGAGCACTTGGCACATGTGGACCACCCAGCGTGGGCAGCTGTGCTGGCTGTGAGCTGCTTAAATTGCGGGGCTTAAATCAAAAAGGGTCGACCGCAGTGTGGATGGTCCTTTCGGGCGCTTATCTTGATTGACGAGTGCAGTGTGTTAAACGATAACAATAACGATAACGATAACTTGGCCAAGCTTGGAGAGTCTACTGTGAGTAACACCTAATTGAATAGGCGCACTCGAGCTCAGTGAACTTTTCATTTTCATTGTGAATTCATTTTTCGTTTTTTTTTGCTCCTTACTCATACGCACCGAATGCCAGCAATTCTATTTGGGCGTGAAGTTGCGGACAGGCTTTTAATCAAATGAAGCCGCTGTCAGAATTTCCGACTCTTTTCTTTTCTATATGGAATCCAATTATGGGCAAGGCCATGCAGTAATGTGCGGTTCAATAGCTAATCGAAGAGTACAATTAGCTAGCGAAAGAGAATGAAAACTCACAAAAGCCAAGACGATGACTTGTTGCCCCGCGTGCGAGAGTCAAATAAATCGAAAAAGAAATACAAAAATAACAGAAAATTAATTTATCCCAAAAAAGGTAAAATAAAAACAATTAAAAGCAATTTTTTTTGCCTGTCATGCCAAATACCCTTGACTGCTTCGGCTATGCAGATGAGATGAATTGTATGGAAATTTAAACAGGAAAAGAAAACATGACAATAATTGACTAAACTGACAACAGCAACAGCCTCTAAGTATGCTCATTTCTTAGAAGTCAACACAAATTTAGAATTCTCCAATTCCTGGAAAAGGATTGAAGTTGAACAACTTAACTATTTGGACATCATTTGAGGAGTAGCGCTATTACAGAACACTGCTGCCAGGTTAGCTAGTGTAATTCGAAAGAAATATATTTATAAATATTTAAGTATATGCTAATCTTAATATACCTTTGCTAAGTGCGTTGCGTGCCCGATAAGAAATGGCAATGGCCAACGGGTTGGTCGAACTGCAAATGACTTTTGGCCCCGCACGACTCTATGCGACGCGACTCGACTCGGCTTGCAATAAAACTAAATGAATTGGAAACTTGCACAAAAATTCGCCTCCAGCCACTGGCAGCAGCAACTACTGTCCAACTACCCAGCGACAATAGCGAAACTTCAAAAAGAAAAACACCAAAAAAAAAAAGAAAAATAATAATAGAAATAAAGAAAACATCACCCAGTTGGTCGTCCCGGGCTGATGTCATGTTGTTCGCCTGTTGTTCGTAAAGAAAACAAACGAATTCTTTGACTTGAGCGCAAGAAAAGCTGAGCACAACTTGAAAATTGAAAAGCGACAGCTGACAATTCGCTAGGGGGTTTGAGTGTGTCTCTCGGCACGTGCTGTGTATGTGTTTGCCTTGGCGTTGAAAAGGATACACGAGCCATCCAGGCTGGGTATGCGGCCAGCTGCTAAACATCTATCTCAACATCTGTAGCGCCTACTGTTTGTTTAGGTCTTCTATTTTTGATTAAGTGGCCCCCAGCCCCGTTCAAATTGTTTTTGCATTATTTGCATAAAGATTGTGAAATCGAATGCATGCGATGAATTTGATTTATTTGCCCTTGTCATTCGCACGCAATTCCTCAATCGCATCAAATAACAACATTTATGTGTTTATATGAACTAGGCCTTAGCTTTTATGAGCCGTAAAGCTATGATAGATTCTCTGGCACACGCCCATTAAACTGGCTGAGCTAACAAGCGCCCAGCGGGCCCATAAAATCTTACCAACTACAGGCCATAAAATGGGCACACGCCAATCCCTGTTAGCCATTCAACTGGTCAGCAATTCAACTTCACTCGCACTCCCTCACTCACTCGCCTCTCTTTCTCTGTGTCTATTCCAAGGCATTCTTATATTTCAATTTCGATAGCTCTGCCATTGGTGAGAGAGATTAAAACGTTGATCTATTGAAGCTGTCTGTTCTCAAAGAGTAAGCCGAGTATTAGATATATTTATTTCATATATCAAATTTGAGCTGAAATGTTCGTAAGTTCAACGCTTGATTGAGAAGTGTTTTGCTAGGATTAAACAAGGGCAAATGGGCATCGAATCAAGTTTCAAAAAAGCTCAAGAAAGTTCTCAAAGTAATTTTGAATGAAACCAAAGTGAAGTTGATCAAGATAGCTAAGCGTCTAAGGATAAGGATAAGCAGCATCTTGGACTTAACGAGCATGAATATTGATTTAGTTTAAAAAGGGTTGGCATCCCGAGCTCACAATCTACCCAAGGCAATGTTAAATTGATGATTTCGAGTATAAGACAATGGCTGAAAAATGGCTTCATCATTTCCACCACAAATAAAGCGATCGTCATCTGCGTGGCCTGAGTCGACTGTCAAGGTTATGGCAACCGTATCGACCATCTTGAAAAGGGAAAAACCATCAACAGCGACTTGAAGTGCTTGAAGGACGTTTCCGCCTGCGGTGCTCTCAGCCCAACTGTTGACTTATCTTAGCTGTATACATTCTTAATGAAGAGTCACATAAACAAAATCGATTTAATTTTGAAAATTTTTAAGGCGTTTGGCTTTAAGTACTTAATAGCTTAACTCAATTAAAAGCTGGAAATGGCTGCGGAAACATTTATGAGCCTAATAAGAAGTCTTTTATAGTTAATTGAATCCATTTCGAGTTGGCTGGAAGTGCGGTCATTAGAGAGGCTAAAGGTCATCATTAGTAAGGTTCTGGCTGAAATGCACGTAATCAGCCAGCCTCAAACACTTAAAGAGGACCCTAAATAAGATTAAGTGCATGCCACAATATTAAGTATTTGCATTTTTATTCCACGCGTAGAGAGAGACAGATAGCTAGAGAGTGAGAGAGAGATAGGGAGAGAGAGCGCCGTCGCAGAATACGACTAAAAGCAACCGGTAGTTCTTGCTGTGCTGCCAAGCGCTAACAGCCACTGTTGCGTCGCCCTGTTAACGTCTGCTGCCAGAGATTTTGGGCTAACAAAAAAATCAGTCGCTGTTAAACGGATGCTGCGGACAGTTGTTCTGTCGCTGTCGACCAGCTCGTGGCCCGGCTGCCGAAACGGAACGTGACGCGTCGTATACGCTATAAATTCGAAAAACAAGTAATAAGAAAAAGAAGAAAAATTATTAAAATATTTAAATATGCTACACGCAGATTCCAATGCCTAAAAAGAATTGTTTAATTGATGTATGGCCATAAAGCTTGTTAATAAGTTAATAATTGAGCTTTTAGCGAATTGTTACTAATAAGCGCCTACGGGCAGAATTCCAAATAAGTGAATAAATATATATATATATATATAAATAAATATTTATATATATTTATCAAATAAGCAGAAGAAGCAGCAGAAACAGATAAACAAAGTGCATTGCTCGCAAAGTAACTCAAAACAATATCAAAAGCAGTTCAAAGCTATAAAAAATAATCAAAAGACGAATGCAAAAAGCTGAATGCATAAAAATGTGGCGGGCAACATTTAATAAATTTCAATTAAACGTGTTTTAAATGCATAAACAATTTCCAGCAGCAACGCGAAGAGATCAGCAACAATGAATTCATTATTAATTGTGAATAAGTGAACGATACACAAATACACAAATGTTTCCAGCGGCCATTAGAAAGAAATGCAAATCCAATTAAAATTTCCACTTAATATATTTTGATTTAAAATTTATTTTCTTGATAACATCTGGCATTTATTAGCGATTTGTTTTCGCTCTTTCGGAAGCTAATGTTATCTAGCAAATCAGGCTGAAGTCGGCTATTTGTTGCAAACTTGCTGCTGAGTGAAGGCCGGACAAAATTGAGAAAAATAAGCAAAACAAATGTAATAAATTTCATATGCAAAAACTTTCCAAAAACAAAGCAAAAATCCAAATTCCAGTGCTTCGCATAACTTATGGATGCGATTCGCGATACGAACCGATACAACATGACTTTTTGGCCTTGCTGAAGCCGCTGTCCAATCAATGGGCAACAGATGAACAAATAAAACGCCAACTCGATATATTAGTAGTTAATAAAAAGCCAAAAATGAAGCTAACACAAACGAAACCCGTTCTGGCCCAAACAATCCAATTCGACAGCATTCTTGAAAAATAACGTATGCAGTGCGCATAAATATTAAAAACATAAAAAAAATTGAATAATATACACATATATATATATATATATATATATATATATATATATATATATATATATATATATATATATATATATATATATATATATATATATATATATATATTTATTTATATATATAATATATGAGCATGTTTACAATAGTTTAGAGTCGGGAGGTCGACTGACTGCATTAAACTTACTCACGGTCTGATGACTCCAAAAATTTTAAAGGTATAGATAGCTATTTTCCGCTATATATATATATATATATATATATATATATATATATATATATATATATATTATATATATATATATTATATATATAAATTTATTTATATAAAATTTTTGGCAAATAAAAGGAGTAAGTTTATTGCGCCATTTCTCGATTTGACATGCAAAATTGGGCAATCTTTAGAAGAAGTCTACAGGAAATTAATGTAACTTTGCTGCTTAGGCTGCAAAAGTTTGCTAAATGCAGGGTACCACGCCCTTAACGTACCTTTATTGTTTAAAGTGCATCAATAGAGTAGGCCAACAGTAGCTGAATATTCGAAATTTTAAGATACAGATTTATTTTGTGATTTGCCACGCGTCTAGGGGGCGTATCACTTTATTAGACAAGGGTATCCACTAGTATATATTTCTAATTTCAAGTCTCAGTCTTTCATACCGGCTAAATGTCTTTCGTATGGACGAACGGAAGGACGAACGAACGATCGAACGCACAAAAAACCAATCTGAGTGAGCCTTAAAACCTCAAAAGTGTAAAATTATATATATATATATATATATGCATATATATATATATGCCTATATATGTAGAAAACAGTCAGTCTTCCATTGGCCACTATCAGTGAGCTCGTCTGTTGCTAGCCAATTAAATGTCGCTTTATTATGCAAATGCATTGAAGGATATTGTGGAAGCTACGAATTGCTTAGCTCGCTCTGGTTTACCTGGCTAATATTTAATTGATGAATTGATCAACGAAAGTGCCGCCCGCCGCTGCTAATGAAAATTTAATGCGCAAACTTTGCGCATTATGAAAATGTTATTGGCTTTGCAGCTAGCAGACACAATATAATTTTATATGCATTTTGCATAACGCTAAGGCGTCGCCTTTAAGCAAAAACTCAGTTTACATATCTAATATATCAATTGGCATATATCTACTTTACATATTCAGTCAGTCCAATTGAGCACACAAATGACACTTTAGCTGCCAAAGACACACACACGCACACACACACACACAGACAGAGAGAGAGAGCTATGTCAGCCATGTTGCTGGGCGCAACTGTGTCGAGCGTGGGCGCGGACACGCCCCCTTTGTCTGAGCTGCAATTGTTTCACAATGAGAAATTCCTTTTGAATTTAACCCAAGTGCTGAACATATCAGCGGACAACTTGACGGAGCTGCTGCAGGGACTGGAGCCGCACGATCTGTTGACTAATCAGACGCACTCGCACGCAATGGCCACCCACATGGGTCTATTAGCCACGCTCAGCATTGGCTATGCCCTCATCTTTGTCGCCGGCGTGCTGGGCAACCTAATCACCTGCATTGTCATCTCGAGGAATAATTTCATGCACACGGCCACAAATTTCTATCTATTCAATTTGGCCATATCGGATCTCATACTTCTGTGCTCGGGTCGGTAGCATTCGGCAGTCTAATATCATTGTGTCATAGCTGGCTAATCCTTTGGCTTACAGGCATGCCCCAGGATCTGTATAACCTCTGGCACCCAGACAACTATCCCTTCTCAGACGGCATTTGCATACTGGAGAGCGTGCTGTCCGAGACGGCGGCCAATGCCACCGTCCTCACCATCACCTCGTTCACCGTGGAGCGCTACATTGCCATTTGCCATCCGTTCAGGTGAGTGACCCCGCGCTGGCCTTGGCCCTGCCCATAGCACTTGATTGATGTCAATTCCTACTAGGCAGCACACCATGTCCAAACTTTCGCGTGCCATCAAGTTCATCTTTGCCATTTGGATAGCCGCCCTGTTGCTCGCCCTGCCGCAGGCCATTCAATTCTCTGTAGTCACACAGAGTCCGGGCTCATCATGTACGGTAAATGTTGCTACTACTACGCCGACTCCATATACCCTAATAGAGACTTTTGTATGAGAGCTAGAATAATGGAGACACTATAGTTAGTAAGAACTGTAGCCTATCAGAGCTTAAGATGTATTAGAAGTAAAATCTAATGGAAGGAGTATTATATATAATATAATTTGATGAAGTAATATATATATAGATACATATATATATATATATATTTATGTGTGTATATACATATATGTATTCTTACTCAGTTTAAGCAGCAGAGTCACTATAGCCGTTAACTACTGTTTGTCAAAAATGGCCTGTCTGTAAGCTTAGTTAGCAGGTCTCTCTTTAAGGCTATTAGCGTGACACTTGGATTAGCTCTGTCTTAGTGGAGGCGATATACATATATGTCGAGGTGAGTCGATCAGATGGAATCACTATATTATATAATTAAAGCTTGTTTAAGTATCTAATTAGATTCATTATTTATAAATTTCGGTTACGACTTGACAACTTTTAAATTCCAGCAAATTAGCAGGGGCTTCTATAGCATATAGATCTTCCATATGAGATATATAGAAGCAATATAGTTGGGCTAGTATATCACATAGTATATCAGATTAACGAAAATTGATTGAAAGAAGAAGAGATGATGCATATGTAAAGATTTTTCGGCAAGCCAAACAGAGTCTTACTCTTTCAGCATGCTACAGTTTATTTGGTAAGGGCAAGGGTATTCAGCTTTCGGTATATCAAAGAAAACATTTCCCTCACCTGCTCAATATACCCTTTCCCACTATTCGATTCTAGTTAAGCTAGCGTGTACAGAAAATATGTCTGTAAGGGTATTTAACTTTCTACGCAGCATGCACAACTTTTTTCTCTCATTAATATTGCCTCTCTGTAGGGTATTTGTTAAGCTGAGGGACATACTTATGCATCGCATTATATTGTCATTACTTTTTGACAGATGAATAACGACTTTTTTGCACATGTCTTCGCCGTGTCCGGCTTTCTGTTCTTTGGCGGCCCGATGACGGCTATCTGTGTGCTGTACGTGCTCATCGGGATCAAGCTGAAGCGTAGTCGTCTGCTGCAGGCGCTGCCGCGTCGCAGCTACGATGTTAATCGCGGCATCAGCGCCCAGACGCGCGTCATCCGGATGCTGGGTGAGTGTGTGTGTGTGTGGATGATGCTGCTGCTGCTGCTGCTGCGTGGGCATTAATGATTCAATGACAACTGACAAATTCATCTTTTGGGATTTGCAGTCGCTGTGGCTGTTGCCTTCTTCATTTGCTGGGCGCCCTTCCACGCACAGCGCCTGATGGCTGTCTACGGCTCCACCTTTGGCGTCGAGTCGCAGTGGTTCAACGACGTCTTCAATGTGTTGAACTATACATCCGGCGTGCTCTACTTTCTGTCCACCTGCATCAATCCGCTGCTGTACAACATAATGAGTCACAAGTTTCGCGAGGCATTCAAGGTGAGTGCAGCTGTCAGCCGGTGTCTTAACCCGTGTTAACTCTGACCTGCAGGTCACTCTGGCGCGTCAATTCCGTCTCTCTGGCAAGCATCAGGGTCACGGCTTGCCACACAACTATAGCGCACTGCGGCGCAATCAAACGGGCTCGCTACGTCTGCACACAGTAAGCACACGCTATAATTAACAAGTTCTTAATGTCAGTAATTGTCCTTTTTGTAGGATAGCGTGCGAACCACCACGACTCTGACTACACTGAATGGTTGCAGCAGCAATGGGGCTGCAGTTGGCGGGTCACGCAACTCGCAGCGCTTGCAGCGAGGTTCGATCAACAGTTCGCATGCCACATTGCTGAGCACGCAGAGTCGCAGCAGGCAGGATTTGTTTGCGGCACGTGTGGCAGGAGTGGATGCGGCAGCAGTAACTGCTGCAGCAACAGCAGCCGCAACACATCCACATCGCACGCTGCAGACACAAATTTCACAATTGTCTTCGGTGGGCGATGCTCACTCGCTGCTGGAGGCGGACCTGCAGTGGCCCGACGAGCATTATGAGCTGGCTGCCCGGCATAAGTGCGCGCATACAGCGATGGGCGCCATTGACGAGCTGAGCTCTCAATCAAGTGCTGTGGGCGGGACTGCCGCTGGAGGTCCATCCCGGTCACGTGTTAAGCTAACGCGCATCACACGACAGCCACAGCTACAGACGAGTGGCGCACTAGCCAGCGATTCAGCAACAGCAGCAGCAGCTGCTGGGGCAAAGCCAACGGGCAGTGGCAAAGTGCGCAAGGCAAAGGCTAAGCGCTCAAATACGCTCAAGGGTCTCAGAGCCAAATTGAATTGGCGTAGCCGGCAGAAGGAGGAGGAGAAGGAGGCAAGCGTCAACAACGATGTCGCTGATGGCCAACGAGCGCTGCCGACAAGTGAGGCATCAACGCCAAGTGTCGTTTACTAAGCACACTTCAACTTGGGTTAGTCAGTCAGTCCATTCCAGATAGGGGACAGGTACTCGTAACTGTGATAAGAGCAGCAGCAGCAGCAGCAGCAGCAGCACACATACTACAACAACTCTAACAAACATAAATAATTCCAATTTGTGGCCAGCTTAGAGCCAACTCTATTCCTAGCAAATACTTAGCCATATATATGTGTATTCGTTACGTTACTGATCTGCTCGCATGTGTCTCACTTTCTCCTAATAAAGCAGTCACATTTCGCTCGCATAACTCGCTCATATCTCTCTTAATGGGGCGCAGCATCCGAATTGGGTTCCACAGTCTAATGAATTTCGTGCAAGTCTCTAAATGCAGCAGCCGCTGTAGCATAATCCCCAGCAATTAAGATGTCTATCGGACGCATAAATTCGCTTATGCTTCTTTTTTCTCTTATTTTGGTCTAGACGTTGGCAACCGCTCGAGTGGCTTAGCAAGCGACAGCTGTAAAATGCGCATCAGCCATTTTTTAAAAATGGCGTGAATGAGTGTGTGTGTGTGTGTGTGTGTGCGTGTGTGTGTGCGTGTGTGTGTGATGGAGTGTATGCGTGTATGTCCATGCCCTTGACTAATTACGTCAACTCATTAGGCAAGCTGTTCGAGCTCTTGACTTTCATATACCCGCACTCAGCTCTAGCCGCATTGCAGCCGTCGTGAGCGTCACAAAGCCAAAATTAAACTAATTGAAAACAATATTAAGTAAATAAAAAAAAACAATTGCAGCGAAGAGATTAGCGATTAGAGTTCAGGCTGAGCGCATTGCCTCGCTTTGCATGCGCCATTTAGCAGCTTTATTAATGCCGTCTTTCTTCTTCTTCATTTTAAGCTAAAGGCTATAATGTGCTCTACTCATTATGGCATAGAAGTAGTAGAAAAGATTTAACTCAAAATAAATTTTACTCAGTGCTAAATTAGCAAACAAATCTAACGAACTATATCATATGTGTGCTAGGATAGAGAAGGATTTCGAGCGGATTACGTTTTGTATATAAAAAAAAATAGTTGTGGATATATAAAGCCCAAGTCAACTTCACTTCAGCTTTAAATAACAATTTTAAATACAAACTCTAGAATTTCTGTTTAATTACACAGGCCAACAAAGTTTAGTAATCAAGAATCTGACTGCAGTTTTGCAAGCCATTCAAACTGGAAGCCAGAAAAGCCATGTCATTTTAAAATAAAGGTGCAAAGAAAAGGTATTGAATCTGAAAAGACTTCACCACAACATCAGAATTTTCTTAAAAATTATTAATAGCTGTCATATCTTGAACAAGGAAAGTGAAACTTGAAGAAAAGTTAGAAAAGTCAACTCTGTTTCTGCTTTAGTTCTTTGCACCTAAATTCAATTGGAATGAAAATTTGTAGTTTTCATGAAAAGTAGACAGAGTCACAAGGGCAAATATTACCTTAGCTAAAAGCCAAGGTAGCAACTCCCTTTGAGCCATCTGGTGCAGGTATTCAAAGTGCCAGCTGTGCACTTTTTGGCTGGCGCATTTAGTTTTAATTGTCAGCGAGGAATTAATTAAGCGACAGAGCACAATTTTGTGGCTAAAACCGCGTGTGAGCCAGAATAAATGTTTCGCAAATTCATAAAGTGCAGCGTATGTTGCACAGTTGTCGGCAACATATTATGGCTGACAGCATTAGAAGCCACTTTGACCGCAACAGTACGAAATTGTTGGCTAAATGAAAAAGACATTTATAAATGCCAACTGGCGCAGGTGAAAGAGCAATGGAAATAGAACTAAGCAAACCATATGCAGAGGCAACTGCCTTTAAAAATTTGAATTTAAAACATTTCATGCTCAACAAAAAGCTTCTCCAACGCATATTAAGTATACGCAGTGAGTCACAAATGGCGCTTGGTCAATGGCCAGTCTGGAATTTTTGGCAACTGTCAATATCTGAGTAAGTAACTGATTCACTTTACTATGCTAATCATTTGGCTTATGGACAAAAAGAGGCTCTTAGTCTGCTGTCCCGACAAAGCAACAACCGCACAGAAACCTTTTCATCAAATTCGCCAGCATTTATCGTGTGTGACATGTGAAAGTCAAAGTTGCTTTCTAAATAGTTGCCGATGAACTTTATCAGTTTTTATGCCCAAAAAAATAAAGGAGAAGAAAACAGTGCGTACGTATAATATGCAGACATGGCCAAAAATTGGTTACTTTGGCAACCACACAATAAATTTTAGTGTCCCCTTATGCCATCAAATTTACTATCACTTTGCCATGCATTCAACTTGTCTGGGCTGTCGCTCAGACAGAGCGGGGACTGTGCCATTCAATTTACGGGCAAATGAAATGCGCCTTCTGTTTATTTCTTGTTTATTTTCTTTACGTCTGTTTTGTATTTTAAATTTGCTAATACGTCTTTGTTGGTATCAACACTCGCATTCGCTGGCACACAATTGAGATTGAACGCATAAATTGCATACAAATATCGGATAGAACTGGCGCCTCGTAGCGCCCTTTCTAGGCAGCCAATAAACTCACAAACACAATTTCATTTATATGTATAGGCGCTCAGTTGGCAATACGAATGCGCCTTATCAATTGTGGGCGTAATGATGGCCTCATAAATTATTGTTGCCTACTTTCATGCGACGCCGCAACTGAAATTATTTATCGCCCTCTGATGTGGCTCACACTTGATATCGAGTTATTTAAGGCTCAATTAGTTAACACGCCTCATTCGCATTCTAATTGCCAGACGTAAGCAGCCGATGTCAAATATACATATATTTGCATAGCAAATACACGAGCAAATGATTTGATTTGAGCATTTCAGCTGACACACGCACATGTTGGACAGTGGCTATGAAACTAGAGAGGAGAGCGTGTCGTGACACGAATGAGTAATAGTTGTAGATGGTATATATCTCTAACTATATCAATATCTCTATTTCTATCTATATCTATATCTATATCTATATCTATATCTATATCTATATCTATATCTATATCTATATCTATATCTATATCTATATCTATATCTATATCTATATCTATATCTATATCTATGTCTATATCTATATCTATATCTATATCTATATCTATATCTATATCTATATCTATATCTATATCTATATCTATATCTATATCTATATCTATATCTATATCTATATCTATATCTATATCTATATCTATATCTATATCTATATCTATATCTATATCTATATCTATATCTATATCTATATCTATATCTATATCTATATCTATATCTATATCTATATCTATATCGTATCGTATTTCATATATACTCAACGCGCTCATCTCTACTTAGAGGCTTAGGCCTACTTCAATCGAAGAAGAAACAAAAATACTTGCTATCAAAGTTCTTGAGCTTAGATGTTATTCAGCTGGCACGTACAAATCGCTTTCGTTGTCAATGTGGCTGGAGTGGAGGACATGAATGAACAGGGATAGATGACTGGGATTTCTGACTGTTTGCTTAAGCCTAGTAGCCTTTAGCCTTTTGACTTTGCATTTGCCATTGACTACACGCTCTGGCTCTGATAAGCCCATATTTCCGTGTCACTTGCTCTTTCCATTGCCGCTGGCAGCTGATTTTGCTCGGCATTGTTCTTGCCATTTGGCACGTTGTTAGTGGCCTTTGGGAGCATGCAGTAGTCGTAAAATGGAATTTGATAGGCCATGACATGAATATACTAGCTGGACACACACACACTTACAAACATGTATATTCTGCGATTGCCTAAATGCCAAATAAACTGCAATTCAATGATCGAATCCTGTGCCAAATACAAAATACAAAACATGCAAAAAGCTAGCTTAGAAACGACTGCGCAATACGCTGAAGTTAATGAAAATGAAAAATCATTTTTAAATTATTGTAATTGATGCACCTTAAAATTTAACTAAAACTATGTCTATGACTTCATTTGTGCTGTCAGAATTGATAATTTTGCTGTCAAACTTAATGAAGAGATCCTTAATAACTGTATCACAAATGGATATTCTGAATGTAAAAATGTAAAAAAATTATATATAAAATATTCAATATATCTAATATCAATATGGCCTCTGTGCAACAATCTTATATACTTTCTATGTGCATTTGTAAACAGCGTACAACAAGCACTTAAATTTATATACACATAAAAAAACGTTGTTCATTTTCTGATCAATACATTTCATTTTTGCTTTAATAGCGTACCTTTTTTTAAATAATTAGCTGACTTTGATTTTGCGACAAATTGCTGGCAAGCCCTTAGAGAAGACTTATGTGAAAATGTTTGCATATTTGTGTCACATTGGCAATAGTACAACAGGTAGCTATGGTACTCACCGCCTAGAATGTGACAAATGACCATATCAGAGGCCATTTCTATGGCGACCTTAAAGCTGCTTTACGGCCTAATTCTAGAAAGGAAAAAATTCAAAATGCTCATAAAATAGCTGCTCAGCAGGAAATGGAAATGAAAATTTGCAAATTGACTAAGAAGTGTATGTCGCAATCGTTGTTAACTTTAACGACTAAATAATAGCCATTGGAATTCAACTTTAGAGGCTAGAAATAACAAAATTTATATTTGAATTGAACATGAAAATATAGAATTCATTAAGATCGCACAGCCAAAACATTTGAAAGCCAACCAAATTGTTGTTCAGCTGACCGGAATGAAGACACGTGTTATTGTTTATTTATATTAGACACAGTTAATATATGCAAAATACTTATTGGGGCGCGACACACCAACAAGTCGGCGGTACGCCTACCCGAAGCAAAACAAAAACTGCGATTGATCCAAATAGCTGAAGAGCAGTGCTGACTCAGCCAGCAGATAAAAATTGTTGTTGTTCGCTTAAGTTTTAATAGCAGCCGTTAAAAGTTTGCCACCCATACGCATATACATATACTATATATTGTCTATATATATCTCAGCTATAGATCTGAACTAAGCAAAACTTAAAAGCCATTCAGTTCGTGGCTACACATTAGGGCTTGACTTATCTAGGATGTGGACGGGTTTCTTATTGACTACCAACAAATGGCAACTGAACTTTTAGCTCTGCTACGAATATACAATATATATATATCTATATATTTAAATATATATATATATATACTATGTATTCACGCATATGTATTGAAACCAGTCGCATTGGCCGTGAACCTGTTGTCATACGACTTCTCTTTATTAAATTGGAGCAATTTATATGGAAAGTCCGCTTAATGTACA